CAGCGGGCAGCTGTGTGAGTTTCCTAGGGCTGCCAGAACAAATTGTCCCAAACCGGGTGGCTTAGATGACAGAAATGTGTTCTCTGACAGTTCTGGAGGCTATAATGAGGACATCGAAGTGTCCACAGGGCACTGGTTCCAATGAAGTCTCTGGCGAAAGCCCTCCTCTGCCTCTTCCTAGCCTCCTGTGGCTGCTGCAGCCCTTGGCATCCTTGGCTTACAGCTGCATCACTCCAGTCTCTGCCTCTGCGTTCACCTGGCACTCTCTCTGTGGTCAGGTTTCCCTCTCTTACAAGGACACCCATCACTGGAACAGGGCCCGCCCTGGAGCACATCTGGACATGATCACATCGGCAAGACTCTAGTCCCAATGAGTCACATTCACAGATGCCAGGAGTTAGGACTTCAGCCTATCTTTTGGGGGACACAGTTCAACCCGCAGCAGCAGGGTACAGAAAAGGGAAAGGGGACACAGGAAGGACAGGGTCTGGGGTCGACCGTGACACTCCACAAGCCCCGACCATCTGAACCCTCCATTTGTGAAGGGTCTCAGCCACCTCCTCTGTCCACTGGGGATTAAACAACCCCTCCCGCAGCCCCATGGGCTCTTTTCTGGCCTTTGCATGCGTTTCCTCTGCCTGAACTTTCGCCTATCAATCCCACCCTCGCCCCCATTCGACCAGACCAGTCCCTACGCTGCTTCCCCAGTCTCCCCTTAGCTGGTCCATCCTCCCCAGCATCTCCTCTCCCTCCCCAGGCCTGGGGGTGCCCCCACTCTGATTCCCGGTCTGTGCTCCACCCCTTCGATTTTCAGTCCACCAAGGCAGTGACTGCACTCCAGTTTGGGCGGCAGAGTAAGACTCCAACTCAAAAAAACAAAAAAGCACTCTGCTAGGAAAGCGACCGTGAGGCCTACCCAGGTGCTCTGGCCTTGTATTTCCATGGGTTCTGCCCCAGAACGGAAACAGCATACAAATAAACCCAGATATGAAGAGATGTCCTGGGTTCTCGCCAACACTGGTATGTTCTGTTTTCTTATAATAGCCAACCCAGGGGTATGAAGTGTGGCTTTGATTTGAGCCAGGCCACTTTGCATTAAGTGGATGAGCATCCTATTTGTAACGCACCATTAACTTGACTTTGACTCTTCGCCCCACAACCAGCTGAAAAGGCTCTCATCTCCCAATTCAAAAATCCAGTTGGCTCAGCCAAGCCTACGGGTTGATTCTCTTGGGATCTGGCATCTGCCCTGGTCCAATCAGCTCTGCCCAGGGGATGGGAGGAAGTGGTCCCTTTCCAGGAATGTGGGGAGTTGCTTTCTAGAAAAGGTAATGGGGGCAGGCGGGGGCAGGCGAGGGTAGACTTGGCAGTGTAGACCTACAAACCCACAATGCAGACAGGATGCATACCTTCTGTGGTCTGGTCACAAGGACCTGGCCTTCAGAAATGTCAGTTTGCCCACACACCAAGAGGGAAGCTATCACTTGTAAATAAAATTGAGTTACCCAAGCTATCTGTCCCTAGAGTAGCCATCAGAATTTTTTTTTTGGTCTGAGACAAGGTCTTGCTCTGTCACCCAGGATGGAGTGCATTCATTGTAGCTCACTGAACCATCATAGCTCACTGCAGCCTCGAACTCCCAGGCTCCACCAATCAATCCTCCTACCTCTGCCTCCTGAGTAGCTGAGACTACAGGTGCACACCACTACACCTGGATAATTTTTTTATTTCTTGTAGAGACGAGGTCTCGCTGTGCTGCCCAGGCTGGTCTCAAGTTCCTGGCCACAAACGATCCTCCTACCTCAGCTTCCCAAAGTGTTGGGATTATTGGCGTGAGTCACCACACCCAGCCAGAATGTTTTGTTTTATTTTCCTTCAGAAAATACTTCTTTATCTTACAGTAAAAAGTAGATGGATCTGGAGGACAGCTGCCAGCATAAGCAGATCCGTGTAGGCCCTCCCCGCAGCCGCCTGCCCCAGGAAGCCCTATTTTATTTTATTATTTTATTTTATTTATTTTATTTTTTTAGAAAGCAGGATTTATTGAGAGGACAGAAAATCTCCAACAGTGGGAGATGACCTAAAGGGGTTGCCCAGGAAGCCCAATTTTATTTTTATTTATTTGTTTATTTATTTATTTTTAATTTATTTTTTGAGTTAAAGTCTCACTCTGTCACCCAGTATGGAGTGCAGTGGCACGCTCACGGCCATCACAGCCTCGACCCACTGGGCTCAGGTGATCCTCCTGCCTCAGCCTCCAAGCAGCTGGAATTATAGGCATGCACCACCATGCCTGGCTAAGTTTTATTTTTTAATTGTAGAGATGAGGTCTCGCCAAGTTGCCCAGGCTGGTGTTGAACCCGCGGGCTCAGGCAATTCCTCTCACTTCAGCCTCCCAAAGTGTTGGGTTTATAGGCATGAGCCACCTCATCCAGCTTAAAAATCATCTTTTTTTTTTTTTTTTTTTGAGTCTGAGTCTCACTCTGTGCCCAGGCTGGAGTGCAGTGGCACGCTCACAGCCACCCCAGCATCGACCTGCTGGGCTCCGGCCAACGTTCCTCAGCCTTCCAAGTAGCTGGAACTACAAGCATGCGCCACCATGCTCAGCTTATGTTGTGATTTATTGTACAGACGAGGTCTCACCAAGTTGCCCAGGTGGGTCTCAAACCCGTGGGCTCAGGCAATCCTCTCACCTCGGCCTCCCAAAGTGCTGGGATTATAGGCGTGAGCCATCGTACCTGGCCTTAAGCCCAATTTTAATCAGAGACCGTGTGGCGAGGGTGGTATCAGGCAAAGAGAACCAGGGGACTGCCCATCACAGGGACCAGGAGCCAAGACGCCTTCACCCCTGGTTGGGGCCAAGGCAGCCCTGTCAACAGCTGGCTTTGCGTATTTCCTTTGTTTATGCTCTTGGATTGTAGCTCTCAGCAGTCTGCAGATCTGATGGAAGCCGTGGGCCCACTAGCTGGAAAACCTCACATGAACACCTCGTTTTGCATCCAGCATTATGGCTTTGAGACAACGCTGCCTCCGCCACCCTTTCCCTCTCCTCCTGGGCATGCAGAAACGTCATTTCCCAGCCTTCCCTGGGGTCAAGTGAGGCCTGTGACTGAACTGGGGGGCAGGAATGAAGGAGACCTCTCTCACCATCTTCCACTCTTTCTCTTTGACCCCTGCCAGTCAGGTGCCTAGGACCCAGGGGGGACCCCGAGCCCTCCGAGCAAGCCTGAGAAGGAGTCTGAGGCCCCGAGTGACGGTGTGGACCACAGCCTCTCCACCCAAAGCCAGCGTGCTCTGCGCTGGGACCAGAGTAAGAAAGAAACACGTGGCCAGGCTCACTGACTCAACTTGTCATCCCAGCACTTTGGAAGGCCAAGGCGAGAGGACTGCCTGAGCCCGCAGGTTCGAGACCCACCCCGGCAACTTGACGAGACCTCATCTCTACAATTAAAAAAAAAAAAAAAAATAGCCAGGTGTGGTAGTGTGTGCCTGTAGTTCCAGCTACTTGGAAGGCTGAGGCAGAAGGACCACCGGAGCCCAGCAGGTCAACACTGGGGTGGCCATGAGTGTGCCACTGCACTCAGCCTGGGCGACGGAATGAGACTCCAACTCAAAAAAAGAAAGAAAGAAAGAAACACGTGTGTGTGAAAACACCCACGGAGACTGGAGGGTTCTTTGTTACTATGGACCGCCCTTACCCCCCTGCCCCACCCTGCCCCCCAGGTAGCCGTCCACAATCCCTATTCTCCTGTGCACTGGACACCATTCAGTTCATCCGGTTAACACTCACTAAATAACAAGCATGTTCCCGGTTCCCCCTCCTGAGCTTTGGTGACCCAGTCTTGGTGGACGGCCACGATGGCAGCTGTCTTAGTGGTACTGACAAATACTTGAAGCCAACAGAAACTCCATGAGTCCCTTGGGTGACCTTGAATGTGTCACTCAGCCATCTTGTTTCCAATCATTTCCACTGCAGCACTAATTCCTGCCCTGCCCAGCACTCATGAGCACTGGAGTGCTTCCTGGGTAGAGAGGCCTGTGAGCCCCCACTAAGGAGGGGCCTTCCGGCATGATCAGATAAGTTGGTTGTGATCGCTGGGTGATGGCCGTGAGCTAATGCTCGACTCCCTCACCTGGAGATGGCGTCTGCCCCCACCGGCCTATGAGCTTTCTTGCCAGTGCACCCTGCCCAGTGGGGACCTGGCCTGACGGTCTCTGTGGTTTCCGAGCCATCAGCTGTGCCCAAGCCCCACCCTGGAGGGATCGCCAGGAGACGCTGGCAGCAACCCCTGGACAGGGCTATCTGAGAGCCACTCTGAGGCCCCAGAAATCCCGGCCCCCACGTCCTTGTCTAAGACTCCTAGGCGTTTGGTTTTCTCTTTGCTCCATGTAAGCACTCTTCCAACAAATGCCAACCATGTGTCCATAGAACCAGAGGACTGTTCTGGAGAAAAGTACAGAAGAGAGGTGGGAGGTAGGGGACCCCGGGAGGTCCTGGGTTTGCCCTTCCGGTACTTGTCACGGGTCAAGAGCCAGGCGGGAAGCTCTTCAGAGCATTGCTCAAGAGTGGAGGAGGCCCGGGAGGCCCGGGGTGGTGGAAAGGGGATCACCCTGGCTGCCCCCATGGCCCTGCCTCAGTTTCCCTCCCGCAGCCCGGAGAGATGGGACCAGGTGTGGAGGCTTGAGAGCGCCCCGGCTGGAGGAAGCCACAAGTCCAGGCCAAGGGGGGTTAGGGCACAGGGGCAAAGGGCAGGAACAGCCATCAGCAGGCACAGAGGAGTGGGGGGAATTGGGGGGCGGGGGGCAGGAGCATCCCTGCTGGGAAGAGGTGGGATCAAAGCACCTGGAGGCCGGCCTGCTGGGCAGGGCACACTGGAGGGGCTCTCCAGGGCTAAGGCAAACACTGAGGTCACTGCTGCTCTCACAGAGCCCTGCCCCCACCCCCGCCCCCAGCTATAAGAGCTCCTGCCGGAGCCGGGCGCCCAGGCTGTGAAGGGGTCATGGCCAAGTTACACCTGCTGTGGTGGCTGCTGTTGCTGCCGACACTCTGCGGCCCATGCGCCGGTGAGTCCCCCAGCCTCCCTCTCCCGGCCGCTCCACCACTCATGGCACTGACCCCTGCCAGGCATTCCCCCAAGCCACACGGTGCTCATTTCAAGACAGAGGCCGCAGGGCTTGTCCAAAGTCACACGACTCGGGGGACTCGACCCCAGAGCTGCCTGACTCCCACGCGTTTAATGGCCGTACCCTCCCCGCGGAATTGGGTTTAGAGGTTGGGTGACATCCAGATGCCAGGTGCGTAGCCTGGATCCTGACAAAGTTTGCTCTGGCCCCAAGCTGCAGCTGTCTGGACCACCTCAACCCTGGCCTGCACCCAGGGCCCCGAGTTCTGGTGCCAAAGCCTGGAGCGAGCATTGCGATGCGGAGCCCTGGGGCACTGCCTGCGTGAAGTCTGGGGACACGCGGGAGCTGTGAGTACCCCTGAGTACGCGTGGCCACCGGGGGGTCCGGGATGAAGAATGCCGGGTGGGCTTGGGACAAGCCTGAGGGGACTGGAGCCCCCTCGGGGGATGGGATGGATGGAATGGAGCAAGATGAGATGGGATGGGATCGAATGAAATGGATAAAGTGGCTGGGATGAATGGAATGGGTTGGGACGGGATGGGACAGGATGACACAGGGAGGATAAAGTAAGGTGGACGGGGTGGGATGGCAGGCAGTGATCTGAGCCTGGGAGTGCCCTGCCAGCCTCTGCCGGAGAGATCCTCCCCTCCGTAGCCGGCAGCGTGCCGCTACTCAGGTGTCCCCCACTCTGGGGCTCCCTCCCCAGGATGACCTGTGCCAAGAGTGTGAGGACATCGTCCACATCCTCACCAAGATGACCAAGGAGGCCATTTTCCAGGTGATGAGGCCCAGACCCCAGGCCCAAGAGATGGAGGGCAGAGCGGGGAAGGGGTGAGACCCTGCAGGGGCCATTTCGAGCCCGATGGGGTGGCCTGGGTCTGCCTGGCCAGGGGCGGGCCTTGGCACTGAGCCAGGAGCATCGCCCGAGACGGCCCTGGCTGAGGGGAAGGGACCCTGCATGTGCCCAGTTTCTCAGTTCCTTGGCCCTCCTGAACGCCGGTGCTCTGGGGAGGGAGGATTGGACCACCCTGGCGGGCAGGACTCAGAGAGGCCAGGCTGACGGCCGCGCTCCGACCACCCAGGACATAATGCGGGAGTTCCTGGAGCAGGAGTGTGACGACCTCCCCTTGAAGCTGCTGGTGCCCCAATGCCACCATGTGCTGGACGTCTACTTCCCCCTGGTCATCGACTACTTCCAGAGCCAGATCGTGAGGGCCAGAAGCTCACCTCCCGCCTGCCTCCCCAGGCAGACCCATCACGCCCAGAGTTACCCACACACAGCGCTCTAGCCGGTCTCACACACACACACACACACACACACACACACACACACACACACACACCCTGTCCCCTGGGACCCTTGAGCTGGGCACCCGATCAGAGCCCACCTTCCCAGGTGTACACGGTGGGTCTAATGCTCACACACACTCCCACACTCACACACATTCCCAGATGCGTGGCCTAACGTCCCCGCATGACCCCATATTTGCCGTTTGTCCCCCACATAGAACTCCAGCCCTACACACACACACTGCACCCCCTAGCCTGCTCCCCCACTTCCAGTGACCTGGTCCCTGAGCTGGGGGCAGCCTTAGGGGTGGGCTCCCTCCCTGACCCTAACACCCCCACCTGCACTGTGCCCTAGAACCCGAAAGGCATCTGTGAGCACCTGGGCCTGTGCAAACTGGGGAAACCAGGGCCAGAGTCAGAGTCTGGGATGCCGGGCCCTCTGCTGGACAAGCTGGTCCTCCCCATGCTCCCTGGGGCCCTCCAGGCCAGGCCTGGGCCTCACACACAGGTGAGTGAGGCCCCCACAGCCAGCGGGTTGGGGATCCAGAAGGCCAGGGCCCTGCCAGGTCCATGAGCGCTTGGGGAGGAGGCGGGGAGGCCAAGCCTGGAGGACAGTCCTCCCTGCGGCTAGCCCAACCTCCACCTGATTCTCTCCCCAGGACCTCTCCGAGCAGCGATTTCCCATCCCTCTCCCCTTCTGCTGGCTCTGCCGGACTCTGATCAAGCGTGTCCAGGCTGTGATTCCCAAGGTGAGGCGTCCAGGGCCGCACGGAGCTCACAAGGGTCCCTGGCAGCTCTGCCCCCTCCCCCAACTCACGCTCCTGTAGGGCCCAGCTGGCGGCCCAAAGTCAGGAGGGCACTACTGGGGCATTGCCCCTGCCCAGGGGACCCCCAAAGCTCAGACTCAGGCCTGCTGGTGTGGGCCTGGCATTCTGGATCCCCAACCCGCTGGCTGTGGGGGCAAACACGAAGCCCCCATGACACACCGGGCCCTGTGCCAGGCACCAAAGCACAAGACCGGACAAGCCCAGCCCTGCCCTCCATCGCTCAGCACGTGTTGGAGAAGGGTCCAGCTGTCTCTGGGAAAGCTGCTTTCTTTTCTCCAGAGGAGGATTTCCACAGCTGGACTCGCCACCCCTGCCCGCCTGCAACTTGGCGTCTTACCACCCTGTGGTGGCCAGCGCCAGAGGATCCCACCAGCCCAGGGCTACCCTGTCCCGAAACGGGGCCCCAGACGGGATGCCGCCCGCCATCTGGTCACTGAGGTCTCACAGCGAGAGACAAGGTTACCACTGTCCCCAGGCTGGCGCAGTGGTGGGAGAGGTTCAGAGGGTGGTGAGTGCGGAGCAGAGGATTCAAGGCGGTGAGGGATTGCCAGTCGGGGTTGGGTTGGGAGGTCAGGACAAAGGTGTGAGGAGGTGATGGTCAAGCTGAGAGCGTGTTGAGGCCCTGGCGGGCAAAGGATGTCCCTTAAGAATGAGCTGGGCAAGCTTAAGGAGCTAGAACCAGAGTGCTGCAGGAGCAGCAGGGCCAAGATAGGTGGGAGGGGAGGCCAGGCCAGGCAGACCTTTCCAAGCCCAGTTAAGAAGCATCGAGTTGGCCAGACTCGGTGGCTCAGCCTGTCATCCCAGCACTTTGGGAGGCCAAGGAGAGTGGATTGCCTGAGCCCACGGGTTCGAGACCTGCCCGGGAAACTTGGAGAGACCTCATCTCTACAATAAATCAAAATTAGCCGGGCGTAGTGGCGCATACCTATAGTTCCAGCTACTTGGAAGGCTGAGGCGGGAGGATCACCAGATCCCAGCAGGTCGAGGCTGCAGTGGCCAGGAGTGTGCCACTGCACTCCCCTCTGGGCGACAGAGTAAAACTCCAACTCAAAAAAAAAAGAAGCAGCAGCATCGAGTTGAGGCCAGGCACAAAGGCTCACACATTAACCCTAGTACTTTGAGAGGCTGAGGCAAGAGGATTGCTTGAGCCCAGAAGCTCAAGGTCAGCCTAGGCTACATAGTGAGACCTCATCTCTACAAAAAAAAAACAAAAAACAAAAACTAAGCCGGGCTCGGTGGCTCAGCCTGTAACCCCGTGCCTTTGGGAGGCTGAGGTGAGTGGATTGCCTGAGCCCGCAGTTTCGAGACCCACCAGGGCAGCAAGACCTCATCTCTACAATAAATCAAAAAATCAGCCGGGTGTGGTAGCACATGCCTGTAATTCCGGCTACTTGGAAGGCTGAGGCGGAAGGATCGCCAGAGCCCAGTGGCTCGAGGCTGTGGTGGCCGGGAGCGGCCACTGCACTCCAGTCTGGATGACAGTGAGATTCCAACTCAAAAAAAAAAAAAAAAATTAGCCAGGCGTGGTGGCACGTGCCTGTAGTCCCAGCTACTTGGGAGGCTGAGACAAAAGGATCACCTGAGCCTAGGAATTTGAGACTGTGGTGAGCCATGGTCGTGTCACTGTACTCTAACCTGGGTGACAGACCCTGATTCAAAAAAAAAAAAGAAAAAGCATCAGGTTGTCTGGGCATGGTGGCTCATGCCTGTAATCCCAGCACCTTGTGAGGCCAAGGTAGGAGGATCCCTTGAGCCCAGGAGTTTGAGACCAGCCTGGGCGACATAGTGAGACCCCGTCTCTACAAAAAATACAAAGCTGCCAGGCACAGTGGCTCACGCCTGTAATCCCAGCACTTTGGGAGGCGGAGGCGAGAGGATTGCCTGAGCCCGGGGGTTTGAGACCAGCCTGGGCAACTTGGCAAGACCTCATCTCTACAATAAATCAAAAAATTAACCGGGCGTGGGGGCGCATACCTATCGTTCCAGCAACTTGGAAGGCTGAGGCAGAAGGATCCCCTGAGCCCAGCAGGTCGAGTCTGCCGTGGCCATGATCGTGCCACTGCACTCCAGCCTGAGTGACAGAGTGAGACTCCCACTCAAAAAAAAAAATCCAAACTCAGCTGGTCATAGTGACTTGCACCTCTAGTCCTAGCTATTCAGGAGGCTGAGACAGAGAATCACTTAAGTCCAGAAGGTCGAGGCTGCCGCTCCAGCCTGGGCGACAGGGTAAGACCCATTGGCTTTAGGACACATTGGCTCTGGGAGGCAGGGATGGGCACTAACCTGCCTGTGGGAATACAGAGTGAGCCTGGGGTCAGGAGGGCCACGACGCAGCTCCGGGTCCCAGCTCTGGGCCAGGCTGCCCTGCGGCCTTGGGACACCCACGCCTCTGGGCTAGCTGCACCCCCTCAGCCAAGCCAAAGCCCTTGGAACCGGGCCTAGGTCCCCAAGGCCCTGTACTCAGTGATGCTGGGTGAGTCCCCCATGTCCCATGGACTCCCTGGTCCTCGGCGAGTGTTTCTGTAAGCAGCCTCACTCCCCCTCCTGCCCTGCTGCCTCCCTCTACGAAGTGCCCGGCCAGTGCCAGGCACAGAGCCGAGCCTTGCCGAGGGAAGGTCCCAAGCCAGCCTCTCTCCACCCCTGCCCCAGGGCGTGCTAGCCGTGGCCGTGGCCCAGGTGTGCCACGTGGTACCCCTGGTGGTGGGTGGCATCTGTCAGTGCCTGGCCGAGCGCTACACCGTCATCCTGCTGGACGTGCTGCTGGGCCGCGTGCTGCCCCAGATGGTCTGCGGCCTCGTCCTCCGGTGCTCCAGCGAGGACGGCCCTGGCCCAGGTGAGACCGCTGCCCCCTCCCCGACCCCTGCCCGCTCCCCTCCACCCCTTCCCTGGCCCTGCACGGCCCCCTCCTTGCCTCTCTGGCCCCCTGCCAAGCACCAGGGAGGACAGGAACCAAACACCTCTGCAGGGTTGTCTTCACCGATTTCCCTCTAGGTCTCACCGCTCCGGGGTCCCTGCCGGGAGAATGGCCGCTGCAAGATTCTGAATGCCACCTCTGCTTGTCTGTGATCGCCCAGGCAGGGAACAGCAGCAAGCTGGCAGAGCCACGGGCCATGCGTCAGGCCTGCCTTGGCTCCTGGCTGGACAGGGAAAAGGTGCGGAGTGGGCATGTGAGGGTTGCATGGTAGGGATCTGCTCCAGGTGGAAGGCTGAGCCCAGGAAAGCTTTGGGGCCAGAGACACACAGGTGGCCCGGCTGGAGCCCAGAGGGGCAGGCAGGGAGGACATGAGTCAGACAGCGTTGGGTCTGTAACTCAGGGCAAAACTTGCTAAGGGTCAGGAGCCTCCTCTGGACAGAGGGCTGTGGGGTACCGGGAGTAAGCAGCTCGCAGGCTGAGTAAGCGCCAGGCAAGTCCTTGTATCTGCCACCTACCAGGGCATGAGTAATGCCAGGGTCAGCGGGAGCCGGGAAAGGGCCTGGCCCTCTTCCCAGGATCTGGTCCCATTCCTGCCCCTGCCCACCTCCAGACAAGCCCCCTGCAGAAGGAGTGGGCCGGGTTGGAGGGTCCCAGGGCCCCCCCCCATCAGTATTCAGAGTGGAGAGTCCCTCTTCAAAGCACAGCCATGGCCTGAGGCTGGCGACCACTGCATTCCTGGTAGGCAGCTCTCTGCACACGTGGTCCTTCCTGCTCAGTGACCTCCAGGGCTGCCCCCGTTGCCTCAGGTCTCAAGGACAGGATCAACTTTCAGATTCCTTCTAGAACTGAAACCTAGGAGGCGGGGGCAATGGCAGCTAAGATTCTACCCCACTGCCCGAGTTTGAAGACCCTCCATCTCCAATGTCACCGGCTGTCCTGACAGAAGTCCTTCGTTTCAGCCAGTTCCAGCTCGGAGAGGATTTGACTCACTGAGCAGTCAGTGGGGGCTGACGGGGAAGTCAGGAGGGAGCCCTGGAGGGATCCAGAGAAGTGAAGAGGCCAGGACCTCAGGATGGGAGAGTCCCGCCAAGGGCCTGGGTCCCCCACTGCTGTGTCTCTCTTTCTTCAGTGCCAGCAATTTTTGGAGCAGCACACGCCCCAGCTGCTGACCCTGGTGTCCAAGGGCCTGGATGCCCACCCTGTCTGTCAGGTACACCCACGCCTCCCGTCGGCTCCAAGGCCTCTCTCAGCCCCCAGGGCCCCCGCCCTCTCAGTGCATGGCCCTCCAAGGCCTCACTCCCGCGGGTCCAGGGTGGCCCCAGGTGCGAGGGCCCGGGACTGAGAGGTGCCCCTCACTGCCTCCACGTAGAAAAGTCAGGAAAAGGCCCAACAGAATGGAAAAGGAGGAAACACATAGGGAGGGGTGACTGAGGAGCTTGGATCGGGGCCCATTAAGGAATGAGCTGCGTTCTCCCTGACTGGTCACGTATGTGTAGTGGGCACCAAGTAGGTGGTCGGGTTGAACGTGCCACCTCAGTCTCTAAACCCTGTGGTTTAGGGAGTCGTTCAAGTGGTCCCCAAGGTCACACCCAGAGCCCCCCGAGGCGTCAGGTGGTGTGAGAACTACCCCTTCCTGGAGGGGTGTCCACACCCCGCCCAGAGCTGGCACTGGGGGCAAGGGTGCTGAGGCCCCCGGCCCTAATACTGTTTCTGTGGCAGGCCCTAGGGGTGTGTGCAACCACGTCCAGCCCTCTCCAGTGTGTCCACGGCCCCCCCTTCTGACAAGAACTCAGCCATCCAGGTGAGCCCAGGCCCCCAGATGGGGGGGGACTGGGGAGGCCCTTCTGCTCCCCAGTAAGAAGAGGTGGCCGCCGGGCTCGGTGGCTCAGCCTGT